TTCTAATTAGGCTTGATCGATAGCTTGGGGTCCAATTAGGGGGGGGGGTTTCTCTTATAATATTCCGCTACGTGCCCTACGAGCGGAGATATTGCGACGCAAAGTCCAAATGTCAAAAATTTTTTTTAAGATACTTTCTACGTCAACCGTTCTCATTCATTATAACATACATCCATACATGTAACTAACAGAGAACGTCACTTTCACTTTTTCGACACTGGCGGCTAGCAGCGTTAGTATCGCAGTGCAGTGCAGTGCAGTGCAGTGCAGACAGTGCGTTCGTTTAGCGCGCTGTCAGAGTGTCAGTCAGTTCATCAGTTATAACCTATCTCGAGAGAGATACGGTAGTACGCGCGGAGCGAGACCGACCGTGACTCTTTACGCGACGCGACGATTAATTCAAGGTAATTGTTTTATGTAATTATCCTATAATTATCTTATTTTTTATATTACTATTATACTTGTACTATTTTATTTACTGTTTATACTACGTTTACGTGAGTGTTTATACATACAGGTTAATAACCTCTTATATTATTTTTTATATTGACAGAAGGGAGCTGATACTGAGATCAAGGAGCCTGTTCACACGAGGCGTTTCTGCCGCGCGATTGCGGCCGCGCGTTAACGTTTGCACGAGCCGCACGCTGTCGCGAGGTATAAGGTGCGACAACGCGCGCATACGCGCGTACGCGAAACGGCAGTAACACCGTAATCGTGCCGGCGATATACTGAATTGAAAATTGAATTGCTTCGTGCTTATCCCGAGATTTCGTATCCCTACATCGTGTTACCACCGCTGCCGGAAAAGAAGGTTCTCTACGCTTGGCAGAAAGTGACGACTGACACGTTCGATCCCGATTTCGTTGATCGCAGAAGAGCTGGACTCGAGGTACGTTTCCGATTTGCAATTATAACAGTATCGTGCGATGAATGTTGTACCCAATTATAACCTCAAATGAAGTGTGCACGTTGCTAGTATTCTGATTATACAATACATTTTTACTTTGTAGAGGTATTACATATTGACAGCAGAGAGCTGATACTGAGGAGATCAAGGAGCCTGTTCACAGGTATATATTGACGGCAGGGAGCTGATGCCGAGGAGATCAATCCCGTTTACGCGCGAAGGAATTATCGTAAGTTATTTTATTATCGGTTCAACTTATTTTTTATTCTTTTCTAGTTTTAAGAGTTAGAAAAAGATAAAAATGCTCTCTTTTCATTTCATATATACATTTTTTTACATGTCCTCCTTCTCTCTTTTATTCACTGTTATCTGTTGTACTTCGAAATCACTTATCTCTCTTATCTTCCTTCTTTTTACGTCTCCCTTTCCTTTGATGTTACTTAAAAAAATTTGTAACTTTTCCATTTTTACTGTTAGTAGAATATGCTTCTCAAATTTGACAATTTATTTCTGAAACATTCCGTATTATATTATGCACTATATAAATTAAACTATGTATAATATATATAAATTATATGTATTATACTAAATTATATGTATGTTTGTGAATTATAGCAATTAGATAAGGAACTAAAGTTTCGTCATATCTGAAAAATGGCACCACCGAAGGTATTACTCGGACAAAATCGACAAAACAGCACTGCAACTTTGAGGAAAGGAATAACGACCAGAAGTCAAAATTCTTTACAGAGCAATGTATTACGACAACCCAATGTTGATAGAGAAATTCGCGCCAAGCGAAAAGTGGAAGTTTCGCCGTTTAAAGAAAAAACGCATAAAAGATGCGCTTTTGCAAACATGTACACATCACTAATGTATGTGTACTCTACACAATTATTGTATCAAAATTTAAATGTATATTTTGATTCAGTGGTAAGATTTAAATGCAATTTTCAGCTCGATTTTTATGTCGACGTCCATTCTTTCCTCATGAAAATCAAACCACTATTTTAATTTATTCCAAACACAGCATTGTAATATTTACATTATGTGCACGTACTGTCGGTCACGCGGAATGCAAGAGAAAATCCGCCGTTAAATTGAGTCACGAATCCTGATACCCACAAGTAATTTCTTAAAATCTTCTTATGATCCTGATTATCTCATAATTTGTATTTTTGTACGTGTATTTTATGCTTTGATAGAAGGAACGTGAAAAAGAGCAGGAAAAGGAAAGAGCACTAGCGGCGAAGCAGACAGAAAAGAACAAACAGAAGAGACAGATTCAAGCTTTGTCTTTTAATCTGGACGAAGACGAAGATGAAGCTGAGATGTCTTCTGACGAAGACAATGCCAAAAAATCCCCGCAGTCAGAAAATGTGCAATTTGATGGCCCTGCGATTAAGAAGATTTAGAAAAATCCAGATGTAGATACATGTTTTTTGCCAGTAGGGAAAGGGACGAGGAGAAAAATAAACTTAGGGAAGAATTGAGATAAGAATGGGGTAGAAAGCAGAACGCGTTGAAGGAAGAAGAAATTGAGATCACATTCAGTTATTGGGATGGATCTGACCATCGTCGGAGTGTTATAATGAAGAAAGGTGAATGTCTCAGTGGTTTAAAGAACGTTTAAGTTATTAAAATACTCCAGTGTCACTTTTGGAGTAACATTGGCATGATATATAATGTTCTGCTGCATAAATTAAATTTTCACACACAGGTAATTCTATCTATTAGGTTCTTTAGAGATGTTTAGAAGTTCTGAGGCGTGAATTCAGCGAGCTTAAAACAGTAATGGCAGATCAGTTAATGTATGTCAAGGAGAATCTTATATTACCGCACCATTATACGTTTTACTGCAACTATAACTGATTTTATTGTAACTAAGGTAAATATACTAAATGATAAAACTTATGAAGCAATAT